GGAAATAAAAGCAAAAAATAAACTATTGAGACTATATCACAATAAAAAGCTTCTTCACAACAAAGGAAACAACCAACAAAACTAAAAGGCCATCTACTGAATGTCATTATTTGCAAATGACATATCTGATAAAAGGTTAGTATCCAAAATATACAAAGAACTTACATGACTCAACACCAAAAAACCCATAAATAATCCAATGAAAAAATGGGCAGGGGTGCCTGGGTGGCTCAGTTGGTTAAGCGTCTGACTTTGGCTCAGGTCATGATCTCACAGTTCATGGTTTCAAGACCCGCGTCGGGCTCTGTGCTGACAGCTCAGAGCCTGGAGCCTGGTTTGGATTCTGTGTTTCCCTCTCTCTCTTTCTGTCCTTCCCCTGCTCACTCTCTGTCTCTCAAAAATAGATAAAAACATGAAAAATTTAAGAAAAAAAAACGGGCAGAAGATGCGAACAGACATTTCTCCAAAGAAGACATACAGATGGTCAACAGACACATGAAAAGATGCTCAACATCACTCATCATCAGGGAAATGCAAATCAAAACCAGAATGAGATATTACCTCACACCTGTCAGAATGGCTAAAATCAACAACACAAGAAACAACAGGTGTTGGTGAGGATGAGAAAAAAGGGGGACTCTCTTGCCCTGTCAGTGGGAATGCAAACTGGTGCAGCCACTGTGGAAAACAATATGGAGGTTCCTCAAAAAATTAAAAATAGAATTACCCTATGATCCAGGACTCACACTATTAGATATTTGTCCAAAGAATACAGAACACTAATTTGAATGGATACATGCACCCCTAAGTTCATTGCAGCATTATTTACAATAGCCAATCTATGGAAGCAGCCCAAGTGTCCATCCATAGATGAATGGATAAAGAAGATGTGGTGTAGATACACAATAGATATTACTCAGCCATAAAAAAGAATGAAATCTTGCCATTTGCATCAACAAGGATGGACCTAGAGAGTATAATGCTAAGCGAAATAAGCCAGTCAGAGAAAGGCAAATACCATATGATTTCACTCATATGTGGAGTTTAAGAAACAAATGAGCCAAAAAAAAAAAAAAAAAAAAAGAGAAAAAGAAAGAGAAAGAGAGCGCCAAATCAAGGAATAGACTCTTAACTATAGAGACCAAACTGATGGTTACCAGAAGGGAGGTGGGTGAGGGGATGGAGGAAATAGGTGATGGGGATTAAGAGTCCACTTATCTTGATGAACACTGAGTAATGTATAGAACTGTTGAATCATTATACACCTGGAACTAATATAACACTGTATGTTATCTACATTGGAATTAAAATAGAATAAGCTAAGATAAAATAAAATAAAATAAAATAAAATAAAATAAAATAAAATGTTAAGTGAAAAAAATAGAAGTATGTGACTAGAATGAGGCCACATGAGCAGTAAGTCACTACTTACTAGCAAGAACAAAGGCTAGAGTTCCTTTGCTGAAGACCAAGGGCCTGGAAGCCATAAAGAATGGTCCATGGTGGAATTCTGCCTATGTCTAAATGCCCCTTGTCCTTGTGTCACACGAGGTGCAGGGATGGTGGCCCACAAATAGGCCTCTCTCCCTTTCAGAACAGAAGAAGTAGAAAATCAGAAAATACTGATTTAAATCTGTTAGAGTTTGCAAGACATGGCTGGGCCTGAACATCTATTTCATGGGTGAGCATGGGAGCTACAGGGGAGTTGTAGAGCAGACAGAGGAGGAAGGCAGAGTGAGAATAAAAGTGCACACAGGGACAGACTGCAGAAGTCTACCTGGGGAAACCAAGAGGCAACAGACTGCAGAGGCCACAGTTAAGGTCATAGCATGAGACAGTCAAAGGGTTGGATCACCGATTAGAATTCTGCACCCAATTCCAACGTGTGTGTGTGAATGTTCCGGGAGGGGTGGTTTCCCCACATCAACAGGCAATTCTGGGACACCAGCTGGGTGTCCTGAAATTCAACTCAATTCTGATACTATCGACCCAGAGATAGCATCAGATTCCACAGATTGAGGGCTCAGTCCCACAAGACTCTCCCTCCCCATCTTTAGATGCCATTGACAAGCGCGGGCTATCACTTGTGCTTCTGATCTACCTGCTCTGGGAGGTTCCAGTGATCCCCTCCTTGGATTCCATCTATTTGTTAGAGAAACTCACAGAACTGAGAAACATTTTACCTACTAGATTACTGGGGTTTTATAAAAGACTATTAAAGGGTATGAATCAACAGCCAGAAAAATAAATAAGGCAAGGTCCTGAACAAAGGGGTTTCTGTCCCCATGGAATTTGGCGCCCAGCACAGTGGCACATGGAAACATTCTGGTTTCCCAGCCTGGAAGCACTCCAAACCCCCTCCTTTTTTTTTTTTTTTTTTTTTTTTTTTTTTTTTTTTCATGGAGGCTCCATTACACAGGAATGATTGATGAACTCATTGGTCATTTGTGACTGATTCAAGCCCTTCTGCCTTCCCCAGAAATCAGGGGGTGGAACTGAAAGTTTCAACCCTTGTCACAAGGCTAGTTCCCCAGGAAACAGCCCCATTCCTTCCAGGATTTCCAAAAGTCACCACATTGACAAACTCAGAGGTAGCAGCAAGGGGCTTGTTACGAACAACAGGACATCCATGACACCTTTATGGCTCTGAAGTGTTTCCAGGAAGTGAGGACAAGAGACCAAATATGACAAAAGATGCTCCCACTGCTCTAATGGCTCATGAAATTTCAAGGACTTTGGGAGCTATGATCCAGACGATGTGGATGAAGTCCAAATATATATGAGAAATATATTTTGATTATCTGAATGACCAAACACGTATTTCTTATAATTCACAATGTCACACAATCTAGTGATGTTGCCATTGGTGCCCCTGCCCTTGCACTCTTGAAGTCACCCTGTCTTTGGCACCATGTTTTTCCTGGGCCCTCAGTGCTTAAACTTCTTCTGTGACAGCCATCTCCAACTGGCTCTGCATCTTGTATCACACCTTCAGGATCCAGAATCCTGGACAGGATATTGCATCTGGCCAAACTTAGTTCAAGTCACATGTGTGGCACATAGATGTTGGGGAGAGGGGCGGGAGAAATCTCTGCCTCCACCCTCAATAGTAGAGGAAGTAGAGCTCTGTGCCCTAGTGAGAGTCGTGCACTGAAGCATGTCCCCCAGGTGGAGAAGGTATTGGGTGCTGGAGAACCAAAAGATGACAAATATCTGATTTGTCGTGGTTACTGCTAGCACTGTCATGTTTGCGGGCTTCATGCCTCTGCCTGGGCTGGGAGCTTAGGGATGTGCACAACTTGCACACAGGACGGGTGCCTGACGAACGCCTTGGGGCCCGTCTGACCTCAAACGGAGCTTTTGCAGGCATTGTCTATTTGGACCACTTGCCTCAGAAACCCTTGGGCTGCTGGTTAAAATGCAGATTCCAGAGCTTTCCCAGACCGAGCAAATTGGAATCTCTGGGGGTTGGTACTCAGGCATGTGTATGTTTGCCAGCCTCCTGAGTGATTTAGCCACGTGCCCATACTTGAGAACCGTGGTGTGGAGTAAGATTAAAGAAGGCAGATCATCAGAAAGGTTTGAGCTCCGTCTTGGAGGACAAGCCAAATTTGGATGCATGCTGTCATTCCAGATAGGGGGAACTGGTAGGGGGTGCAGGATGTAGTGGTCAGTGGCCAGGGATGGAATGTCCTGGCGACCTGAGGAAGTGAGTGGAATGGAGGGGTGGGTCCAGACTTGGCATGGTGGAGAACAGGACGCTATTGAGTGTTGACTAATGGGCAGTGACGTAATAGCAGCAGGAAGGAAGATGTCACAAGGGCAGTGTTTGCTCTTTTCTCTTCTTCTGCATTTTCCCGAGCTGCTCTCTCTTCACACTTCCCTTCTCACCTGCAAAGTAATAGTCAAGCCTCTCCAGGAACATGGAAGACATCCCTGAGGGGCAACATCCTCCAACAATGGGAAGAGCCCTGGGACAGCCAGTACCCAGTGGATCCTGGGATAGGATGGAGGGGACAGGGCTCTGGGGTGGCCATGGCTACTGCTGCTGCTGCTGCTCTGAGCCTCGGGTAAGGAGATGCAGGGGGAGGAATGGAGATGGCCAAAGGGGTACTGCTAAGAGGGGTTTCTCTCATTTCTTTAGGAGAGACTGAATGGGATCGGGGTGTGGGCTAGACACAGGAAAGGGAAGAGAAGGTAATGGACGCAGACTGTTGGTTAACCCTGTCCCAGCAGGAACTGGGTGATGAAACAGAATCTGGAGCTTTCTACAGTACACCGTGAAGTTAAGAAAACTACACGAAGTGAACTGAACAATCTCTTATCGCAGTGTTGATTTCCTGGGAGGTGGAAAGTGTAAGATACAGTCTCTCCTTAAAGGAATCAGGCACTGAGGTAGAGGAGGCATTAGTAGAAGGCAAAGGTAAATAACAAAAGGGCAAAGCCACAGCATGAACACAAAAATATGGTGAAGTCCCTCTAGCAAGGCACAGGGAGGCAGTGTGGAAAAGAGGGTTCTGGAATCAGACAGAGCTGGGTTCAAATCCTATCTCTGCCACTTTCTACATTTGTGCTCTCAGGAAGTCCTCCAACCCCTCTGAACCTCAGGGTCCTCAATATTTATTTGTAAATGGTACCTAAGTGTTGTCCTAAGGGGGTTGTTCCTAAGAGTTAAACAGCAGACTGATGTACAATTCTAATGATCAGTATTTAGAGCATAGTCAGTGCTTAACAAAAGTTATGGTGGGTGATGATGGTGGTGGGGGTGGTAGTGGAAACAGGGGCAGGGTGATCAAAGGTATTGAGGGTTGAAAAGGGAAGGAGATGAGCGCAGGTGGAACTGTCTAGGTAGACTCCCTCTAGGACCAGAAGGGGTGGATGTGGGTGGAGAGGAGTGGGGGAGAGCACTCAGCCTGGGGACGGCAGGGGCTGGGATGAAGTACTGGGTGCTGGAAAGCCAGGGCCGTGTCTGGGGAAGCACAGGTAGAATAGAACATGGGTTGTAAAACGGGTCAAGTTCTCTTTCACTTTTTTTTTTTTTACCATTTTATTGTTAAAATTTTTCAGTCTACAAAATCTGGGAAGAATATAAATGAAGCTTGTTGCACCCTGGAGTCAGAACAGACCAGCCATAATTGATATTTTGCATTATTTGCTCCATATGTGTGTACGTTGCTGAGATACATATTTATAAATATGTTAATTGCAAATATAAATGTATTTATTAATTCATTACATATATTAACACATATTATGTATATTTATAAATATGTATGTTTATATTATATCATGATATATTCTTCAGTACTATCATATATGTATATATAAAATTGCTGAACCATTTCAAAATAATTTACAGAAATCCTAAATTATTTATTTAAATAATTTTATTTATTTAATATTATATTATTAAATATTAATATTTAATATTTTCATAATAATAAATACTTATACTATTAAATATTAATATTTAAATATTTAAGTGCTTGATGGAGCTGCTAATACTTTTGATCTGCGACCTTGTATCTGTAATTGGGGTCTGTGGATGCCTTAGGGATGGTGGAAGGACATTTTGCTCAAGTGCAACACTTTGACTTCTCATTCTAGGATTCAGCTACTGGGTGAGACAAACAAAAGTGACTGCTAGATGGAGAGACCTTGACCACAGCCTGCTCTTCAAGTGTCATGCTCTACTCCAGCCTGAAGGCCTGGCAGCGGGTGAGAATAGCGCGGTCAGTGGTGTGCTCTTACACTTAGAAACAAAGACCAGAAGCCCGGGTGGCTCAGTCGGTTAAGCTTTGGTCTTGGCTCAGGTCATGATCTCGCGGTTTGTGAGTTGGAGCCTTACATTGGGCTCTGTGCTAACAGGTCAGAGCCTGGAGCCTGCTTTGTCTATCTGTCTGTCTGTCTGTCTCTCTCTCTCCAAAAAAATAAAAAAAAAAAAAAAAAAGGGAAAGAGAAGAAAAGAAAGAAGCAAAGACCTAAACTGGCCCAAACCAGGGATACCTGTTGAAGGTTGTCCCACGGAACCCATATTCAAGGTCACAATGGCAGGGCTCCAGTGGCAAGACTTAGGACTGCACTGGTGTGTGGTTGACCTCAGAACCCCCATGTCCTGTCCAAATGGATTTGGCTGATACAGTGCAAAGGTGAGAAGCAGCGAGACCCTGGACAGGAAAGGAATGGCTTTTTCGGAGGCTGGCCTCAGCCACAGGCTGAGAGGGCTGCTTTGGATGCCAGGTGGCACAGAGAGAGCAACTGGAAAAGCTCCAGACCTGAAAGCAGTGCACCGGGTTCTTCCACGCCCACTCTGTCAGTTTGCGAAAGTCCTACCTAGCTCCTCTCTCAGCCTCAGCTTTCCCACCTGTCGAGAAAAGAAAGTTGGGCTAGGTGATCTCAAAAATTCTCTTACTCTACGTCAGAGAACCTGCTAGAGGAACTAGACACCTGAGCATCGACTTGTGCCAAGTACTGGGTTCATCCATCTCCCTTCTATGAAATAGGTGCTGCTGCCCCCATGGTACAAGGGTGGGAGGCTCCAAGAAGTCAGGTTACTTGCTATATCTTTCAGCGGGTACTTGGTGCAGCTGGGATCCTACAGAAACCCGCCTTGACTGGATGGTTCTTGGTGAATCCTGGAAATGGGCCCAGTTTGCCAATAGAAAGCTGCCCCCTTTCTCAAAGGATTTAAAAAGTAGTGGATGAGGGATAGATTCTAGAGAGCAAAATGAAGGGCCTTTCACTGACCTTGAGTTGCTTCTTATTGGTGGGGACACCGCCAGTTTATTGGAAAGCCCATCTTCCCACGTGGGGAGACAGAGCTGGGAAGGTGAGGCCGACAATTTTGTCTCAGGCTTCTTGAGAAACATTCCCCTTTGGAGCTGGTGGGCTGGAGGGGCCTCCACCGCACAAGACACTGCTGGCCCACGCCCTGCTAACCCCAATATGTGACTATCATGAGAGGGCTGGGCTTAAATCGGACTGCAAAGTATCTGGAAATAAAGAGTTGACCATGCAAACTGATGGGGCTGTAGGCAGGACGGAGGGAAGATATTGAGCGCACGTCATAGAATATAGTCATTCCCCAGGACTTTAGAAACATCCAGTGACACCCAGTAATTAACCGGCTGGTTGCAAAGGATTTATGCGGTCAGTTAAGGGGTTTCATTGCCCTCTACTCAGGGACATTTTATTTTATTATTTTTTTTAAGTTTATTTTTATTTATTTGTTTAGAGAGCTAGAGAGAGAGCAAGCAGGGGAGGGGCAGAGCGAGAGGGAGACAGAATCCCCAGCAGACTTTGCACCATCAGTGCAGAGCCTGACACAGGGCTTGCACTCATGAACCGTGAAATCATGACCTGAGCCGAAATCAAGCGTCGGACGCTTAACCGACTGAGCCACCCAGGCACTCCAGGGACATTTTGTTGACTTGGTCTTGGTGTCTGGATGCTGTGGAAGCACTAACACCTTCTCTTCACCCAGGGAGGTGGGGGCTGTAACAGGATGAGGGAGGTGTGCTGGCCCAATTCCCATTCTCCCTGTGCCCTGAACATCCTCAGTGACCTTGAGTAAGTCTCTCACCCCTTTCTGGCTTCCTCCACGGTGATACTCAATGGCTCCATTTCTCTGGGTTCTTCTGTATTTATTGAGTTCAGAGAAACAAAGGCCTTATATTTTACACTTGGCAGAATTCGCCCACCCCAGACACCAGCAGACGGCATGGGCCCACCAGGTCCGAATCCATCCTTCCGCCTGGTTCCTTTACTCAAATCTTAATAAAGAAAACAAGAAAAATAATCAAGAGTGACTGAGCCCAGACTCTTGCATGAGAAGTGTATCAAGTTTAGTACAAGATAAATGTAAACATAATTACTTTCATCAAGCCACAAAAGATGCTGTGGAGGACTAATAAATAGTAGCTTCATCCAGTAATTGCAGACAACTTCAGGCTAATGTGGCTAAGGAAACCGAGTCTAATACAGATTGCTCCTGCCTGAAGGAATTATTAGTCTCACAAGGGAAACAAAATATAATCTTCTAAAAAGGTTTCTTTCTGGGGAGGGGTTGGTGTGCCCAGAGATAGACTTTCCCTCAGTGGATTGTGGGGAATCCTTCTCTATTCTTCTTGACTTTTTCTTCAGTTTGCCAGGTGAGGGAGGGCATGGCAGTTGCCAACCACAGAAAGAAACTTAATATATTGGGGGGGGGGAATATTTGGAGGTGATAACATTGTCCACCCAATCCCACTGTAGGAAGGGAGGTGTGAAATGGGAATTTGAGAGGACAGAAGGTGGGCCCTGGAGGGCAGGAGGGAGGTTCTTGGTCTCATGGGCAAGTTCCATGTTGGGGCAGAAGCAAGGGCGGAAGGACTATTGTGGCAGATGAGCAATCACGTGACTGTGATGGTCTGGGAGGGCGTGGGTGCTGAGAGCTGAAAGACCCTGAAGGCTGAGACCAGCTGTATGTCACAGGATATATAGGAATGGAGTCAGGAAATGAGGGTCCCAGTGCTGGTTTTGTCTGTTGAGTGACCTTGGGCACTCCCTGTTACCTTGTTCCTTGGGGGGTTGGAATGGATGCAGTTGAACGCCCCTACCTTTGACCTGCTTGTCCCTCCCAAACAGAGTCTAGTCCCATGGCAACGAACTTGGGAGAAGGCCACTCAGCATGTAGGAGAAGAAGGGCCCTCTCTGGCTCAGACTGAGTCGGCTGGATTGTGCAGATAGGCTGGCAAACTCAGGATATGTTGACCCATCCTCCTCAAGCATTATCTGGGCACCCAGTAGGAACCCAGTGTCAGTCAAGGCTCAGAAAGGCTTTTTATCTCTTCTAGAAAATGGCACTAGCCAAGAGAACCAACAAAGGCAATCTGGATCCAGAGTAAGTTGTGTCTGAATGAGGGTTGTCACATGGAGGCCAGAGTAAAGCAGTGTAAGGGCTTAGTTGGGGCCCTCAGCTCAGGCCCCACGTGTGGACGCCGGAGAGCCAGGCTGGACCATGGAGGACTTTCTCCTGCTCCAGGTGGGCCAAGGGAGTCCTGAACCCTAGCAGGAGGAATGACCTTTGTTTCTATTTCTATCCTGAAGCCCCAGTGCAAGCCTTGAATGTCATCACCTCAAGGCAGCAAAAGTCCCATCCACCAGCCCCAGAGGAGAGAGGAGCTGGGGGTTGGGGAGCTAAGGACATACAGGTGTATTATACCCCTGCTTACAAGGCACCACCTGGAAAAAGTGGCCCAGGTGCAGTGGAATCTGAGTAATCAAGAGCCTCTTCCTTCCTTGGAGTCAAAGGAATGGGATCAACAGAAGTCCGTTCCTACCCAGACTTGCTGGGGAGTGGGGGCCAGAGGTGGGGGTCAGAAAACACTACCTGGAGGAGGAGAAACACTGAAGGCACAAAGGGAGTGGTGTTCCATGCCAGGGGCAAGTTGTGGGAATGCATGCACAGAGTGTGCTGCCTACAGAGGTAGACAGTTGGGCTGAGTGGCGAGAAGAGGGTAAGGTTAACGCAGGACCATAAATTCAAATGGTGGAGAGCTTTGAAGGCCATGTAGTCACATGCAGTTTGTCCTATAAGCAATGGGGCACACAAAGGGCTTTTCCTAGGCCCCCTGAGGGGAGGAGTGAGGGTCTGGGTGCAGAGTGACCCAGCAGCTATGCAGGAAGTCTGGAGAAGGGCGGTGTTAGGCGCAGGAGACCAGGTAGATTCCTTTGGGGTGAGAGTCAGGGTTAAGATCCTGGGAAAAGTAGAGGCCTCATCTTCAAAGGGTGCGAACCCCTGTGTGGCTGCTCTCATGGCCAGGAGCAGGCAGATCCCCACCCTTTTGGACTCTGGGGGGTCAAACCTAGGATTCCAGTGCTCGCCCTTTCCCAGGACCTGCCGGTGTTGGCGACTGTTCTGACATGTGGATTCATCTTGTTCTCAGTCCTGTTTGCCTCTGTCCAGAAAGCCCGGGGCTCGCTCAGGCGAGTGAGGGCCAGGGACAGGCTTGGGTGGAAATGAATGAGATGAATGAATGGACACAGGCAACAGCTGCAGATGTGGGTTTAGAGGTTCCCAGAGGTTCCCTAGAACCCATCCCCTGACTTTCCTCACTTCTGTGCTCAGAAGTCTTTGGAGAGGAGGCAGGGCCCCCCGCTGGGGGTGAGGTGAATGGTGTTGGGCTGGCTCCCCGGAAGGGTGGAAGGGGCGGGGTGAGGATTTTTGCTACTGGCAATCCAGCCTTTCCTTCAGAGGAGGGAGGAAGATGCAGGCCGGGGCTGACATGGACGCATCATTTTCAAATACTGTTCATTTCTGTCCATCCTCAGGCAAGGCAGCCTCCTGGAGTGTCCCCAGGACACAGCACACCCAGGGAAGCAGACTTAACCTTCCAGGAGCTGACAGGCATGCCTTCCTCCCCTAACAAATACCACACTCCACTCTGTTCAGTGGTAAATAAGAGGCTTCCTGAACTTCTCTTGTGAGATCTCTGCCCAGCCCCTCTCTTACCCAGAGGGAGAAAAGCAGTACCAGGTGGGGGAGTGTGGAGGGCTGGGTGCAAAGAAACCCAGGGGGAGTCATCAAGACCAAGGGCATGGCAATTGATTTCTGTGTTAAGTACAACAACTGGGACTCACAAAGTGTAATTCAGATGACACTTATATTTGTCCTCTTACTGCCGTCCAGCCTTGCTTGGCTAGAGACCTCATTGGCCCCCTGCTAAAGCCTATGGCAAGACCATCACTCTTCTGGGCATTAAAAAAAAATAGGCTTTATTTTTGAGAGCAGTTTTAGGTTCCCAGAAAAACCGAGTAGACGGTACAGTGTTCCGCTCTAACCCCTGCCCACCCCTCCATACACAGCTTCCCCCGCCATGGACATCCTGTCCCTGAGTGGTAGAATCAATGAATCTACATGGACACATCAGTGCCACCCAAAGCCCATAGATCACCTTAGGGCTCATGCTTGGCGTTGTCCATGCTATGGGTATGGACAAATGTGCACTGACATGTACCCACAGCTGGAGTACCACACAGAGTAGTTTCACTCCCTTCAGACCCCTCTGTGCTCTGTCTATTCATCCACGCCCTTCTGGGCATTTCTAAACAATATAAAGTTTATTCCCAAGCTAGCTTCAGTTCAGTCAACCGACTGAGTTACCCAGGTGCCCGATACACATTTCATTCTATTATAGAATAGAATATAATGTGCACTTTAGTGGAAAACTGCATTGTCTCTAGCACACTCTCCCTTCGGTTCTCTGTTTCTGATTCAGTGGGAACTATTTTATAGTTATGTAAGTTGTAGGTAAGTGACAGACATGCAGATTCTGTCCTTTTCTTCCTTCCCCTGCTGTGGATGGAGGTGGGGGAGGGCGGGAATAAACACCAAACTGGTTTATTTCCCCTTGCAATTCAACATTGCTTTCCTCCATATAAATATATGCTTCTTGACTTCCTTTTCTAACCAGATCTAACATCTGCCTGGTTCACTCACTGAATATGAGTTTAAAAGAATCTTTAATGCATGTTTATTTTTATTTATATTTTTAAATATTTATTTATTTATTTATTTATTCATTTATTTATTTATTTTGAGAGAGAAAGTGCATGTGTGCATATGTGCATGAGCGGGGGAGGGGCAGAGAGAGAGGGAGAGAGGGCATCTCTCTGTGATGTCAGCGCAGAGTCCCACGGGCTGAATCTCATGAAGTGTGAAGTCATGACCTGAGCTGATCCAGGTTGGACCCTTAACTGACTGAGCCACCCAGGTGCCCCAACGCATGTTTGTTTTTAACTGTAGTTTTGAAAACTATAACTCTGTTTATAAATTTCACTCAATCTTGCTTCTGACACTGTCCTTGTATGATTCCATTGTGTTGAAACACACCCATATATGTTGTCGCCTGATTACCACACAGGTGCCTCTGTGATTCAGTGGGAAAGGTTGGTCTTCCCAATAGATGGTGATGGTTTATGGGACAGTCACCTGGGGCGGGTGGTGGTGGTGGGGGGGGAAGGCTTTTACCTTTCTCTCACACCATACACAAAATTAACTAAAATGGATCATAGACATAAAAATGAAAGGTATAAACAATAAAGCATCTAAAAGAAAACAGAAAATAGGACCTTAGAGTGGGCAAATGTTTCCTAAACAGGACACAAACAAGAGTAACCATGATAGAGTACGCATTCAGGAGTTGGACACTGAATGTAGGATAGTCACACATTTATTCCACGTGGAAGTTCCAGAACTTTCTCACATTTTCATCAATACTGAATCCTACTCAACTTCCTAGTTCCTGCCAGTCTGCTGAGTACAAAGTGAAAGCTCAGTGTTTTCACCTGAGTGTTTCTCTGATAACTCTGATAACTGATGAGGTCAAACATCTATCCGTGGGCTTCTTAGGCATTTGGATTTTTACTGTTTTACAACACTTTCTTCTGATCATTTTGCTGTTGAACTTCCTTTCTCCTGCTTGCTGATTCTTTAAAAAAATTTTTTTTTAATGTTTATTTATTTTTGAGACAGCACGAGCAGGGAAGGGGCAGAGAGGGAGACACAGAATCCAAAGCAGGCTCCA